ATCCGTATAACACGTAGGAATATTTAAACATATTGAATGTGAATATAATACAAAATGTAAATGTTGGTTTCCGTTTTAAAAATGCAAACAAATAACTTAAGTCGCTAGGGATTAGAGACGACACATTCACCCAAATACAATATTGAATATGAAAGTCTTACGAAGAACCTATTAATCATTTGCAATGAAGCTGTTTATAAAGAAATAAATCATTCAGATTTATAACTAAAACAGGCAAACAAGGTATACATATGTTTTGAATAAAATTAGTAAAACTCATAACAATGAATGGAAAATACCTGGAGCGATGGAGAATATGTAGTAGTATGTACATACATACGTAGGTATGAGAAGAAATACACTGGGTACTAAGAAACTTCTATTACCCATTTGTATAAACCTTTATATTGTCAAGTCATTATTCACAAAGTATGAAGTCATAAAAGAAGGTGGATAAAAGTTTGAAAGCAGGGAAAATATTTTACATTCATTTCGTCATATAGAAGCAGAAGAATCATGTTGACAGGGTAGTCACTATAGATCATTTAGATTACATTAGGGTTACTGGAAAAAAGGAAGGAAGTGAGAAGTATTCGTCAATTAAAAATCGTTTGGTTTGTAAATTACTGGTCTATAAATGTCAAGATGACACCGACCTAGAGTCTGGTTATAATGGTGTACTATGTATAAATTCAGGAACACTATTTGTATCACTGGCCATATAAATGAAAAATAATAATATGTATATAATATAACATTGGATTTTCTCAGGTGCATGCGTAATCGATTTAATTATGTATTTGCAGTACCAATTAAAACTTGAATCTGCCTACAGAACCTAACTAATCTCCCTTTTTTTCTGCATTACTTATATTCTATTAAGCTAAGAAAAACTAATCTTCCTACCCAATGAAATCGATATTTCGAAATAAACCCAATAAAAATACTCGATATTCAACATGTACGTAGGTAAACAAGATCTTTCAGTGATCTAAAAAAAAAGTAACTTCGTCCACAAAAACTAAAAAGTCTCTTGCTCCCTATATTGGCTGCATTCTATCCCTACCTAAACGAAACCAATTTCCATCGAGAAGCAGGTCGATATCTCGAAACAGAACCAAACAAAATAGGTAAACATACTGCAAGTTGGGGTAACTATGACTCACAAGAAAGATGTCCCAACCTGCAGGTCCCGATTTTCTTGAAACTTTCTGGGATTGTAGAGAGCCTCAAATTTATGCAAGGAACAATTTCTATCGGTTGACATTCACTCTGATATTGTGAAATTACCCCTTAAAGTTTAACGAATTTTTCGTTTTTTTTCCATTATATTTTCTTAACCGTAACATATAGGTGTTACGTACGAAGACACTCTCGTGATCTCTTAACCCTATCGGGAGATGGAATGCATCCGGCCGGATTACGTAATTGCCCGCGGAGTGTTATGGCGTGGCCAGATTTTCTTGGAAAACCGTTTCCGTTGAGGAACAGGCGTGTCCCCCACTACTTTTAGACTCGATTTTTGGGATATAAAAAGGGACGCGTCCAGCTCATCCGCGGATCATATTCATATCAGAAGTCTAGCTAGTGAGATCGCGTATTAAAGTCCTTGTCAAGAATTTCTAAAAGTAAGGTAAACTCTGCATAAGAAATCCCCACATTTCTCAGTGCGTGAAAACCGAGAACGTTGGAATTAGCTACCGCGACTACACTTTACAGTACCATTTGTAAAACCTTCACTTTATTGAATATACTTTTATACGTTCATATATTTAGAATTCAGTGTTGTTCATTCCAACCCTAGAATAACATCTAAATTCCCAGCTAGAAGCGAACCCACAAAGGCACACTTTTACCGAAGTGTACCGAATTCTTAAAAGTTACGAGGTCCATACTAACAATCCTAGTGGCTCCCTGAGATGAAATAGGCTCGGGTTCGTCCACGACAACCTATCCCAGTGGCTCCCTGTGATGAAATAGGCACAGGTTCGTCCACGTAACAAACTCTAAAAAACCAAACTCGCCATTTCCTCAGCTCTCGCAGCCGCTTAGCCCTGGCTCGTAACATAGGAAAAAACTTTTAATGGAAATACTGAATGATATTAAAAGACTTATGAAACTGCAAAAGAAAAAAAAATATATACATATGTATGTAGGATTTGGGATTGGCGGTATAGTCGGAAGTAACTAGTGTTTAATATAATAAGAACGTTTAATAGTAAATATAAAGTATGGAAGAATACAAGATGCTACGCGTGTCGTTGCTGGCCGATGACTACTGTCCTGCCTCGTTCGCTCGCTTAAATCGTTCCCAAAAGTTTGACTGTCGGATAGCGACAAACAAGTCGGCTCTCTTTCGGCAACTACAAAGTATTGCGTATCACGTGCTCGTTCCCGAACGCACGCGTCCACGCTCTAACGCTCGCCTACGGTCGATTCCCGATCCTACATGTATAGGTATGAGATACATATATGTATACGTATGTACATGTATAAACAACAAATATATGCGACATACCTATTTTTAATTACTTATTTCACAGATTTATTCAACAAATCAAATTACATTGAATACATATTTTGTATTTTTTTTAACGAATATTTGTATCCGGGATACCCTTTGTATACATTTTTAAGTTTTTCAATATAGCGGGTAAGCCGTGCAAGTAAATTTAATTTACTAAGAGTTTTAAAAGAGCGCACAGAATTGTATCCCGTAAAATAAATTTATTTATTAGCCGTTCATATGGCACATATACCTCAGATATAGAACAAAATGCCACAAGTTTTATAGATGGACTTAAACCTATAATCGCAGATTATGTATTGCTCAACATTTCTTGAGTTGCATTCTGGGCGTACGTTAGCCATTGATGGTACAAAAGCAGTACCAGCCGTTGTTCAATTTATATCTGCAACAACTCATAATTACACCATTCTGTCATAAATATCCGTAAGTCGAAGACTTTTATCTCCTTTATTTATAATATTGAAAGAATATAGCGGAAACTTCGGTCCACAAGTTCAGCGAAGTCTATTTCGACCAAAAAATGTAAACCCTACATTACAGTCATCATCTGGGAAGTTGACAATACTGTTTAACGAGTGGTTCCTAAATGTATATTGACCAAATACCGGACCTCAAAATATTTTATTGCTGGATTCGTGGACCAGTCATTGTCCAGCCGCATTACAGGAAACGTGCCACCTAACAAGGGCATACAAATATCCGCATATGTTGGACATATCTATTTTAAATTCCTTATTTCACATATTTATTCAACAAATCAATGTACATCGAATAAATATTTTGTTGTTTTTAGGGTGGTGTCGGCGTTTTTGTATATGGCCAATTTCATGTCTGTTTTGATTTGGTGGTGCATCGTCTATGATGGAAGTTCTGTGTATATGTATACATGTACATAGTTATATGTATGTATATGTATGTCATATACATATGTATATATATTTTTTTCTTTTGTAGTTTGATAGGTAGGTCTTTTAACATCATTAAATTTTGCGCATTAAAAGTTGTTTCCTATATCTTAGGGTCAACAAAATATACTGAAAAACCTTCATACGTCCTAAACCTAATAGTTAACGGTATATTTATAAAATAATCACTGTATTGAAATCGTTGTATTGAAGTTGAGGGGCATCAGTTCGAGCACCTATATGTAGCTTCTAGATAGTAAGTACGTATTAAAAATTATTTTTTAAATATCTCGTTAACTATTAGGTTTAGGACGTATGACGGTCAATCCATTTTTCCTCATAATTTGATACTCTATCGCTCTATGGTACAAAAAATAGCTCTTTCCGTTAAAACAAATCAAGGTGATCTGGAAATCTCCGAAATGCCTTCACCCACAGAAAAGCACGTACCTTATAAGATATGTCCATTGATGCCATTGAAGTTCCATGCCTCAAAATTTCCATAAAGTGTACCGTTAAGTTATTATTCGAGGTAATCAAGTTAGCTGAAACACCCTGTATACATATATCAATGGATTTGGAATGAAATTTGAACAAGTTGTAAAATTGTAAATAAAAAATTTGTTTGTTATAAACAAATTGTGTTTTGGACAAGTTGTTAGCACCATATTGTTCTGCATAAAAAACCATGACACTCACCCATTAAAAATTTCTTCCTATCTCTTACGGTTAACAAAGCAGTATACTGAAAGAAAGAAAAATTTGGCAAACTTTAAGCAGTAACTTCACCCCTTTAACGCGAGAGTCGGCCGATAAAAAATATTGTTCCTTGCATAACTCGATGCCCTCTACAATCTCACAAAGTTCCAAGAAAATCAGGACCTGCGAGTTGGGAAACCTTCCTTGTCAGTCAAGGTAATTATATTCCGAGTCAGGAAATAATCATTTTTGGTTAGGCAACTCAACAAATTTTTAAATGAAGTTGATTTGTACGTGAAAATGTATTTCACTTAAAAATACCTGCAAAAGAGCTACAAAAGAAAAAATGATCACTTTCTGACTCTGAGACAAAGTTACCTCTGACTGAGTCATAACAACCCCAACTTACGGTAATTATATTTTCGCTGCCCACAACAAATAAATCCCCCAACGTCAATCAAAAGTCTTCTTTCACCGAATTAACAGCATCCCACCCTAAGGGACCCCGAGCCCAATCACCAATGAGTGCAATGCTGTGAAATGAACCCAAGCAGCGCAGGCTCGGCGGTCAATATGAAGGAAGCAGCGGTGTTAAACCCTCAGCCCTTTGGCTGCCACGAAAGGACTCTTCGAATCGAATCTAATCCGCTCTCCCAGTCCGGCAATAAGCGGAACGCTTTGTGCGTAAGCGTGGCGAGGGGCCTAGAGCGCTTCCAATCCGTCGTCGGTGATTCGAGACCGGATTAGGAATGATTTGTCAGGCGGCGGCGAGCTCTAACGTTCTCTTATAAACAGAGAACGAGAGCGAATGTGGGGGGTAGGGGACGCGCGTGATCATCGGCTGTCGGATCTATTCATCTACTCACCGTTGTCGAGGCGCTAGAACTTCTGTGCTGCTTCACGGGAGGACTTCCCTGGGTCACGTGTATGTCGGAGCTTAATTGACGGTTTACGGGAACCGGCTGGTGGTGTTGAACCGTGGGCTCTATGTCGAGGTAGCAATGAGCCTCCAAGTGGCTTTGTGCCCTCCTCTCCTCCAGGACGATCTTCCGTGCGGCGCAGAATATCTTATAGTAGACCTGAAACGTAATGGTTTCTTGGTTTCAATGGGAAGCCATTCGGGTAATTCATAAGGGACCTATGACTTTGTTACCGGGGCTGTTTACTTTGAATGCGTGCGGAGTATTAAGTGTGTCATGGATGTGATTAGAAATTAAAAAGACCTAAAGCCATTGGTGTAACAAGGTAGGAGGTCACAGGAGGGGGGCTAGCCGCCTAGAATGCGGACTGGCCCCCACGTTCAGAAATTATTGAAATGGGCCAAAATACAATTCGCAACACAACTAAGTACAAAAAATACAATAGTATCGTGATTACGTTCAACTATTAAATAAAATTATATTAGAACTAAGCTGTTTAATTTTAACATTGTATTGCAACTAATAATGATGTAGCATCAATTAAAGGACCGGATGCATTAAGGGAACTAGCACTCGAGAATAGAAAAAATATTTTGCAGAACAAAACAGTAAATTGAAGCTTATATAGATTTTAACTATAGGTATCTGTACATAATATACTCTTGCTTTTAATCAGTCTCCAAAATTTGTTCTTTCTGTATTTGTTTTGTTTTTAGGCATTCTACTTATAGCTTTTTATTCTTAGTCTTAGTGTTAAATAAATATGTAAATAATTATTGGAAAATGTATAACTTTATTTTGTGTAACCCAAGTACATGGTATAAAATACATACAGGTGCTGATGGGGAGTGTGATGAGTGAAAGTCAGGGAGTCTGCCCCCCCCCCCGCCCCGCCCCCAGATAAAAATCCTAGTTATGCCAATGTCTAAAGCAGAGGTAAGGTAAATGTCCCAGTGGTTGGACGTTTAAGGCGAAGATTGCGGTTACGAATACTTTTTATATATTAAAATAATATGTATAGATTGGCAAAAAAATACATTCAATCGATAGAGCAGAACTTCTTGGAGACAAGTTGTTATAAGAAAGCGTTCACGTGAAAAAAGGAGTAAAATTTATGAATATCTAAAAGCGTTCATTTGGCCGAGTGATTGGACGGAATTTATGGCATGTCCTAGTGATTAAATTTAGTTGTCCCAGTGTCTGGACATAACATTCAATAAATTATTCATAGCTGATTTTTAATAGTAAAACATGATACTTTTCTTTTATGTTGTAAAAATTCAAATAAAAACATAACTTTAATGACTGTCCAACAGTTGGTTTTTTGTAACAGGAAATCCTCTCTCTCCAAGATAGAAAATCCACTGAACAAGTTTGTCCTCTTCTTCTTTGGTGAGGTACGTTGATGGACCCATTGTGGCAATTGAAGGAATTGTCCCTTTACTTTTAATATAAACTGTGCTTCGAGGCACTTTATATTTGTCATTCGCAATTCTTAATGACATGCCATTTTTAACAGCTTTTACAGCATTATTCACGTCTTGTGAGTAATTTTTTTTACTCACCTTTTCCTTCGGCATCTTAAAAATCTTACTGTTATAAAAAATTTCCGAAACAAAAGAAATAAAATAAAAAGGTGATTTTTAATGAATATTCAGTACGCGAATCGCTTAGGTTATAGTTGTGTCAAAGTAATATATTTATGTATGAAATATGTAAGAAAAACTATGAGCTTCCAAAATTAAATATTGTTATTAATATAAAAAACACAAGAATACCTACTGTAATATAATGAAATAATTTTTTAAGTCATACCCTAACTCTCTGCTCGATGCTGCTCGAATGACTCGACAAGTGTCCAACGACTATGCAATCAGCATTGTCATGTAGCTATAAATAAACTCGGTAATTTCGACATTAAAAGAAAAAGGTTTTATTAAAACAAAGTTGGTATCAATTCTGGAGAAGTTCAAGAAACCTTTACTTAATAGAAACACACGAATTATTTATTACTTACGAGCTTAAGAAATGCGCTGTCAATGTTAACGAAACATTTACGAAGACATTCATGTCGCCTCAAGTTCATGATTGCTAAATGATAATATGTTTTTTAAATAATACATCGCGCTTTTGCGAACATGTTATACGATTTATGATAAGAAATAACTAAGGATAATTATTTTCTCTCCTGAAGTTCGCTATTATTTTTAAAAAATGTAATATTAACAAAAATTCACGATAGTGTCCAATCACTAGGACGTGTCCAACCACTGGGACATTTACCTTAGTAATAACATAAAATATAGGTGAATTGTGAGAAACACAGTCTGTTTTTATCAAATAGAGTACAATCCTGCTCGTAAATATTAGGACACGCGTTGTATGTGAGGAAGACATGACACTTCAGAAGAAACTATACATATACACGTACTTTGCACCAAATTAATGCTTGACGTTATTATAAATACAGTATTTTCCATGTAAACAAATACAATATTTTTACAAGACCTCCAATAGCAATTTATTTTCACGTTTACTTTGTATTCGGTACGTGTCGTAATACTTATGACCAGGAGTGTATGCTGACTTTGACAATGGAGTGTCACACACACAGGGCTTTTCAACCAGGATTTCATTTTTTAATAGGGGCAATTTTGGATGTGGTGACAGATTTGTCATTCTGTTTTTTGACATATGTCAAGTACAAGGTCTATAATTGATTATAATGTCTTCAATTTCAATCGAAAATCGCATAAAAATAATTAAAATCCACTACGAAATGGATCTGTGAAAACTACATATCGCAAAATTTCGGAATCAATGAATTTATCGCGAACGAAATTTCCCGATCGAATAATTTTGCGTAATTCTGCAGTCAATTGGCCGCCTAGATCGTGTGATTTAACGCCGTTAGACTATTTCTTATGAGGCTATGTAAAAGATCAAGTCTATGCAGATAATCTACGATTCATTGAAGTCTTGAAAACCAACATCCGACGCGTAATTGGTGAGATAGAGCCGCAATTATGCGAAAATGTAATCGAAAATTTTGACAAAAGAATCGACTTCCGTAAACGTGGTCGTGGTGGACATTTGTCCGATATTCTGTTTGATTCATAAATTGTAGACTTTCTACATTATATATTAATAACGAAATACAGAACTTTCATCCAAAATGTGTAAAGTACACATTTATTAAAACTTTATTTAAATTTTATTTAAAATTTAAAAACAAAATCCCTGTTGAAAAGTCCTTTACAACAAGACTGGTACCCATCTTTGTGTGTACTGTGACGAGACATAAGTAATTAAAAATATTACATGAAGATTTCATTATTAATATTATATTACGAACAGTACTGAATAAACGAATTATGAATTTGGTGTACGGAAACTTTCTGGAGTCATTACATTTAAAACACTTTAAACAATCATAAATGACCTTGAATGGCCTTCAAAGACCAACATAAATGAATATAAACATACACTGCGTGGCATAACTATAAAACAATCGTAAAATTCTTATGTATTGTGGTTAAAATAAAAAAGAATTAAGTATGCCATGTCCTGAATCGTGTTGAGAAATATTCTTTCTTCAGAAAAGGATAGGTTGTATTCCCGATATAGAAAAAAAAGTGATTGCTTTTTACTTTAAAAACAATATATGAAGATTGAAAATGTTAGGTTAGTTTTATAGTCATGCCATGCAGTGTATAATTCCATTTAAAAGTAAACAAAGGTGCCTTTGAAATTTTAGATCGCACCCTCACTTAAACAAAACTTGTGTCCATCATCAGATATCTCTCGAAACAGAGTAAGTTCTATTTGAAATATTTTTTCGAATAACGACTAGTTCAGGAGACAATTGCGTGTATAGATCAAAATGGGACACCCTGCATAACGAAAATAATCGAAAGACATTCTTTTCGGGGGTTGATCTAAGTAAACTTTCCAGTATATGATGGGGCAATCATTAAAATCGGCGAAATATGTTCGATATCCTCAACGCTGCGTTCCCGATTGATTGGAGGTTTCGCGTTCCGCAAACAAACCCGTCGAAATAATTGGCGGGAACATTGACCATCACCATCCGAAAATAAACAACCACGTGGACCCCTCCTCGCGGCAGCACGAACGTTAACGTGAATTGACATACTAACAGTTAAATAATAGCTATACCGGCTAATCATCTTCGTTGATCGCCGTGCCTCGATTTTATGCTTTTTGCTTTAATTAACGCAATAACCTGTGACAAAACGCGGTATTTTCAAAGGGCGCAGCGACAAATTGGAGATGATTTCTGCGGGGACGAAAATTCGTCGAAAATGTAAATTCCTCTCTTTGAATTATTGTACACTCCTACATGTTATTACCAGGATTTAATAAGAGGAACTTTTAACCAATATTTGTAGAGGGATACAATTTTGTAAAGGTTATTCTAACCAGTTGGTAATGAACGTATATGATAGTGACAAAAGTTTAAAATTAACTTTTGGGAATTAAAAAAAGTAAATGATTCTTTATTATTGATTGGCAGTTATTGTCTGTTTATATTAAATAAGCTTTTACGAATTTTACGATCGTTCACAATGATACGTTTATTGGTCGCGTAACAATTTTTCGAGGTAAACTATAATCCGTTCTGGAATTAATAAAAGTTTTTACTGAGGATATGGCGCAGTGATTATATTATGCACGTTATCAGGGTTGGGTCAGTTTCATAGACACTTGAAGTATATTCGTCTCTCTGCTCACGTTTTTGTTTAATTAACAGGGAGACACCGAAGCATGGAATAATGAATTTTTCTCTTACATATAGAACGCACTGAAAAGAATAATATTATATCGACACGATGGAGAGACATGGTTTCTCTTAAAAAATTGAAATACTGTAGAAATATGATAATTTGGCACCATAGCAATATAGTAATGCTATTTAACTAGAAAAAAAAATATATATATGTATAATAAAATAAGTGTGAAATTTAATTTTTATACAGAGTATAAACCATCAGGTGGTTACCATATAAATGACTATTTTTTGACTTTGCAGTTTTGCAACATTTTTTCTAATTAAAATTTAGCGCCCAAATTTAACATTAAATTTATTCGTATCACGATTTTAACTAAATTTGACAAGTATTGTTTGTTTATTGATG